GATAAATGTTTGGAATTCTAAACTATTCCACCTCGTGGCTTCATTCAAAACCTTCAATGAAGGTGTCACTTTCCAGCCAAAGAATCACAAGCGCCATGAGACGTTTCAAAATTTCCGCCGCCATTTTATTTTTTCAGAGAAATTCTGGGCAGAATCCGTTTGAAAATTTCACCGAATTTAATCGGCAGCACAAAGTGAACTCAGTGAAATTTTCAGACAGTTTCGTTAAGAAATTCCTCTGTAAAAAAATAAAACGGCGGCGGAAATTTTGAAACGTCGCATGGCGCTTGCGATACTTGACCGGAAGGTGACGAGAAAGATCCGCTTGACGATCTTGGATTCTCGGGAAGTTTGGCAGCATCCTCGCCTGGTTGCATCATTAACTGCGAGTATTAAATTAGCAGAGCGCAAATTGTAAATTCTCGGGCACAACTTTATGCTAATGCGGGCGGGCTCGGCGCCCGACGCGGTGCGGCGTGGCGCGGCGCCGTGAACCGAATTTCGGGCAGCCCGGCCCCGGCACGGCGTGCATATTGAAAAGACCGGCTTTTGTGAGGATTTTAAATTAATTATTCCCCTGCAAAACGCCGTTTAATGGAGTTTAGCAACAGCCCAGCGCGATGATTCCCTCTCATCGCGCCTCGCAGGTCGGGTTGAGTTTTAACTCGTTCAAATCAAATGGCACTATCTCCATTGAGGCGTAGGTCATGTTCTGCGGGCTGAGCTTTGAAATTGGTAGACAAAGCTATAGACAAAAAAGACAAAAATGATATTGAAGGATCGTATTCTGCCGCACTGGAAAAAAAAAAAAAAAAAAAAAAAAAAAAATTTAATCNAAAAAAAAAAAAAAAAAACATTTAATCGAGAGTCCAGACTCTTGAAAACATCCAAGAAAATCCACTTAGAATAAGAGGCTTGGTTCTTGATTTAAGCTAGATTCTGATAGAATCAAGATATTTTTTCTTGTCGATGTTTTTAAGAGTCTGGACTCTAGATCCAATGTGTTTTTTTTCCAGTGCATAAGAGCCCAGACTCTTGAAAACATTGACAAGAAAATATACTCTTGATTCAATCGGATTTTTGCTTGAATCAAAACAAAATCCGCTTAAATTAAGAGGCTTGATTCTTGATTGAAGCTAGGTTCTGATTGAATCTAGAGTACTTTTTCTTGTCGATGTTTTTAAGAGTCTGGACTCTAGATCCAATTTTTTTTTTTTTTTTTTTTTTTTTTTTTTTTTTTTTTTTTTTTTTTTTTTTNTTTTTTTTTTTTTTTTTTTTTTTTTTTTTTTCAGTGCATAGGCCATGTTCTGCGGGCAGATCTTTGAAATTGGTAGACAAAGTGATAGACAAAAAAAATACAAAAAGGATATTTAAGAACCTTATTCTGCCGCGCTAAGGAAAAACGCCGCATGAGTCCTTAGGCTTTGCCAAATCTCCTTCGACAAATCATGAATTTTCGGGAAAATTTGTGAATATTTCTCTTCCAATTTTACACTGGATTAAACAAACACATTGGATCTAGAGTCCAGACTCTTGAAGCCATCGACAAGAAAAAATTCTCTTGATTCAATCAGATTTTTGCTTGAATCAAAACGAAATCCGCTTAAATTAAGAAGCTTGGTTCTTGATTTAAGCTAGATTCTGATTGAATCAAGAGTGCTTTTTTTTGTCGATGTTTTTAAGAGTTTCGACTCTAGATCCAATGTGTTTTCTTTCCAGTGCTCTCTTGTTGTGCCGTAGTATCTTGATTTATTTTGCGAGGAAAGCTTCTCACTCTTAAAAAGTGCCTGTCATTCTTAATATGTTGGAGCGCCTTTAATGTCGTATGATACTGTGCAACACCTCTGTTGTGAAATAGTTGCTTGAGACGCCGTGGTGCGATGCGGTGCAGCGGGCGGGCGGCCAGCGCCTACAAACCTAACAGGGATACTTCACGCATTGCGCAATGCGTGAAGTATCCAGTTAGGTTTGTAGGCGCCAATGCGCGTTCCGCGCTGGCAGTACGCCGCTCCGCTCTGTGTCAGGATCTATTATTTAAATTCACGGAGTCAGCGTTTTTCAACTCATGATTTCGAAATGTATGCACACTCTGCATGAATTATTCTCAGTACATGGAATACTCCCCATGTACAGAGGATTTTGTTCTAACATTGATCCAAAATATTTAAAAATTGCAAGCAGAAATATTCATAATTGTTTCCAACATTAAATCTTTTTTGAGAGGGAATTTGGCAGCAATCATAATGTTCATGCGGCATTCTTCCTCAGTACGACAGTATTGGTGGAAGCGAGTAGTTGCAATGGACAAAGGAGGTAGGTAATAGACTATAAGGGCAACCCACGAGAGACCCTTTAGTTTGTCAATAAATTTCTATTTTTGTCTATAAGAACCATTCATTTCAACCAACAGAATAGCTCCATACTCCTAATGTCTTCTTAGTCTATCGCTTTGTCTATTAATTTCAGCAATCAGCCCGCTGCAAGTATTCGCGTGTATTTCAGGGTCAGGATTGACGTGGTTCATTTTAATTTAAATACGTCAATTTTATTGCTCCGACTAGAGCACATATACCTATAGTGAGAGCATGGACCACAGATTTAATCCAGATCGCTGACATTCAATCAAGCCAATACTGAAAAAGCGTGAGAAAGTTCGGGTGCTCTCAGCAGTGGCGTGGCGTACTTTGCATCGTTGGATCCAGCAAATTAGAAATGTATTGCTTCTTGCAGGGGCCAGGTGCTCCGACGAGAATCAAATATTTAACATAAGTTTAAATTGAGGGAATCCGGTGTTGCCAAATTGCTGGATCCGCCACTGGTGCATTGCGTTTTTTCAAAAAAATTGCAAGAAAAAATATGCATAATTTCCATCAAGAGAACATGTTTTATCCGAAGAAATATGGCAACTCTCGAATGAAAATACGGCGTTCTTCGTTAGCACGGCAGAATTCGAGAGGGATTATCCGTTGACCGGGGGAGTTAATGAAAACTCTTCAGCAGGGCACAGTGCCACAATTGAATCCTAATTCCACCCGAATCCTAGGTCCAGAGCATGAAACGGTGTAATTCTATTGCCAAGTTCTATTTAGGTCGAGTTTAACAGAAAGGAATCGTGTTTTTTGGAAACCGAGGGCGAGGGGTCTCCTTGCTGTAGGATTTCTCATGTATTTCTCATGAATAAAATTGCATCCACACGTTTGGACTAGATTTAAAATGTAAGAATCGCTTCGCAGATGAAACGTTGGAAGTAGATTAACGCTTTTCATTTGGGTCGACTGGACTATGGGTCACAGACGAACATACAAGAGGTCGTCTTGTCATTAATTTCCCCGTATAATTTTCCGTAAATAACGTTTTGCTCTTCTACATTTTACTTTCAATAAAAAGGCGTTCTATTTGTTTATATGTAAACACAAAAGCCAACTTTGCGATACAGATTATAATTTTTTAGGATATTTTAATGACTTGCATACGAAAAAAGCCTAATCTATTTAGAGAAAAGAGCCAAGTGATTTTTGTTTTTTTATTTTCTGATGGTTTATTGGCTTCGAGTCTGGCACCTGCAGCCAACTCTAGACTTAAATAGATGGATATTTAACAGCTAATAGAAGATTCAGACCGAGTAGCTTCTCAGATTTATTATACTTGCGAGGTCAACTCAGAGGAAGGTCGAAAAAAAATTCTTGGTTTGGGACGCTTCATTCTTCCCATTTCAAGACTGAAATTATAATTATTTTTTCCCTTATCACCTTCTTCGGTATTCGGTGGAAATTCGAGATGATGGCAAAAAGATGATTATCCAAGGAGTCCAGCAGGAATCCTGCCCACTCGTATGCAAATCCGAAAACTGCAGAGAGACCGTCTGGACATTTTAATTAAAACTTCAACTCGGGCGCGCCAAGCGCTACCTTACAAAGAGAAAACGCCGTATGAAAAATACGGTGTTGTCAAATTCATCTGGATTAGACATTTATTTTTGAGAAAAATTATGCACATTTTTCTTTGAAATGTTCAGACACGATTGTAAAAAGCACGACTAAAATGCCATAAACAAAAATTAAGAAGAGAGGAATACAAAGTTTTCGGGAAATTTGAATCTTACCGGAGGAAATTTGACAACATATGATGCTCATACGTCGTTTTTTCTATGCCGAGGCCGAGTAGCGAAACATTCCTAAATTAAGAGCCGATTAATCTTATCACGTATTTAATTACCCCGCAATTTTGAATTGATAATCGTGAGAGGGATGATAATCAGCGAGATTTATTCACGGCCTCCGTAAGTCGTGCGGGTTGCGTCCGCCGATAACCAGGCGCTTCACAAGTTAATTAACTCGGCAAGGCCGTGAGCCGTGACTCCCTCAAATTCGGCAAACCAATAAAGAACTGCTCGTTTTTTTTATTGACATTATCGCGCGAAAGTATAATAAATCGAATGGAAAGCAAAGGAATGAGGAATTTGATTATGACGGTTTGACATCAAACGAGAATTTGGTGAGCGGTCAAGAAAATAATTTTTTGCGTGCTTGTATCGAAATTTTGATTTATGCAGTAATAACGAGATAATAAAGTATTTGCGTTCTACCCTGGGAAAAGGGACCACAAACCGCAAAAACTCAAAATTGAGTTAGTAATGCCGAATCTATAAGAAGAGTTCTAAAGGCATTGAAAAAATCACACGAAAAACGAAAAAATTAAACTACTATAAAATCCACGATGTAAGCATCAAATTGAAAAAAAAAAAAAAAATCACTCCTCTATTATATTCGACCTGAAAAATTCATAATCAAATAGGGAGTCTCATTCCAGCAGAAATCATAATATGCATGGAAGAATTTCTTGAGAACAGTTGAGAGACTTTCCCATCAAAGTCTGAAAATCCAATTTTTAGACCCAACTTTATAAGTCACTCGGTTGAAAATTTTCCCTCCAAACACCTCCCTTCCTTGGACGGTCACAACGAATGACACGAGAGAAGGTAAAAAATATGAATAACTTACGATTATTGGCGAGACATGTTTATATTGGCTGAATTTGTTCCTTGAGCTTCGACAACATTCAATCAACTGAACCTGCAATAAATTAAAATAGCATAAGTACTATGAAACAAAAATCAAATTTTCATTTTGACAACGATATACTTTGTTATAAACCATCGTGATCATTTAGGTATTCTTATCGAGACTGAATGACACATTTGAGCTGCGTCTTTTTCAAAATATAACTACTGTCTTCCCAGTTCGATCTAATGTTTAGAAAAATAGAGAAAATATTCATAGAGAATTTCAAGATCGAATACTTCACCGCGATAAATCTGGCAACAAGGCGTAACCCTTAGACAATAGTTTTGACTGAGAACTGCTTCAATGTGAAAATAATTATCAGGAACTTATGATACAACTATTTTAACCTTCCGGAGCGCGAATTGCCTACTTTCAAAATTGAAGGCGTTTCATAAACGCAGAACCAGTTCGCGACGCATCGGCTAAGAACTGAAATCGCGTGAGCATGTCGAATGACGGATATAATTAAAAGAGAGAAGAATACAGATGCAAAGGAAGAAAAAGAAAATAAGGAGAAGAAGATGACAGAGAAAAAGAGGAAGAAAGACGAAGAACAATTAATAATTTCTCCTCTTTTTCGTCTCTTTTTTCTCTCTAGTCTTTTCTTTTCTCTGTTTCTTTCTCCTCTTTATGTTACCACCCCCTTTTTCTTTTTCTCCCTTCAATTCTGTCTTTTTCTTAACTTTTCCACTTATTTTTTGTCTTTTCCTTAGGCTCTTTCCATTTCGTTCTCTGCATGTTTCTGCACTTCTTTCTATTTCATCTTATTTTTTTCTTTCTTCCAATTTCTAAAGCGACCTCATTTCATTTATGTTCAAAGTGCTAAGACTCGAGTCTAATTGACTAAAATTAATACTTAAGCACCCTTTAATCGATACTGCCCTTCTACCAAACACGATTCTATTATTTACGCAAGAGAGTCATAGGATTTCACTTGGCCCGAAATGTTTACATATAGGGAAGTGGTATTGAATTTCGCGTGGTTGGTGTAATAGCGCAACATTACAATGATGCAATCAAAACAAAATTCGAAGAAATCAACCAGCACTTCAGACTGAAAGAAAAAATGTAAGCGCACGATGGAAATCGACCCAAAGCGACGCTAACGCTTGCCTCTCGCCTTTTTATTCATTTAGTGGCTCTTTTCGCCATAAAAAACGTTCTTATAAAGTACTTACGGAGAAACCTCCCCTCATTTTAAAAGAAGCAATAACGGTCTCGTAATAATGGAAACGAGGTTAGAACTTGAACTCACTTCGTCGTCTTTCGCATGTATAATAAGACAGATGAGTGTCTGGCTTTCTCCGTTCACAAGCAGTCGCTTTTCTCCAGGAAAATCCAAGGATATATATTTTGCACGGGTTGCAAAAGAGACATGACGCAGCTCTAAGAGTATTGTGATCGTCCGCAGAAAAAGGGAATGTAACTGCAGGCTGATTGTTTACATTGATAGACAAAGATATAGACAAATCATCGTTCCCCAGACAAAGGAACGTAACTCCATTCGGAGGTTGCAAAATTGACTCAAACAATTACATTTTTTAGATGGATGTACCAATTCGAATTCTGTCTAAAATTTTTCTGATTTTTACATGAGATCAAAAGAAAAATCAGTAAGCTTTCCAGTTAGAAATGCCCAACATTTTCCTGGTAAAAGTGAAATTTATAAGGGAAACTTTGGCAACATTGATATGTAGTTACGGTCTTTCATGAGGGAAACGATGAAATGAAACAAAAGAGATACGGAGGGATCATATGAGATGGTTGCAATAGACGAAAGAGGTAGGTAATAGACTAACTAACAGCAACCCACGAGAGCCCCTACAGCGAGTCCATTAATTCCTCCCTGATATAGGCCATAGGAACCATGACCATTTCGATCAAACGGATCGCTCCATACTCGTTATGTCTTCTTTGTCTAGCGCTTTGTCTATCAATTTCAACAATCAGCCCGCTGACCTTAACTGTTTCTGTTTTGCATGCACTCCTAACTTCACAATCTGCATGAGAAATTTTCGTTTTTTTGAGCTTCCCACTTTAAAAACGATACTACGGCACAGGTGAACATTTCGTTAGGTGTCGTTCTATCCAACCCCTGTGTACTAGGATACTATACACAATAATCAACATGACCGACACCAATCCGCCAGAACACATTTGCCTGAATGAAATTCCAACCATTTCTTAACAACCTAGCGTGTTTACACTCACGATTTCTTCGCGTTGATAAATATCTGCTATGGTTGACCCTATGCTTCCGATTGCTATTTGCGCGAAAAAGCGTCGACTATGCTGGATATTGCTATTGCAAAGGGTTGAATGAAACGACTCCACTAATGAAATGTTCACCTAGGCCGTAGTATCGTTTGTGGAGCGAAAAGCTAAACAAAATTCGAATTTATTACACAGATTGTGAAGTTAGAGGTGCATTTCAAACTTTGGCAATGCGTTCATCGTGATTTTTGTTACATTTACTGATAGAAACAACTCTAATTTTTCCTCTAGCAAAAGTTTGCAACAGGCCCATTGGACCAGAGAATTTATCGGTGCGATGAGTGAAGTAGTCACTATAAGGCAGTCTATTAAGTCTTAATTGTTTGGAGCTTTGACTACTAAAATTAACTTTTTCACAAGATGAAGGATGCCAGTGCGGAGTCGCTGAAATATATTGCCTCCGGTACTAACTACCTTCGCGTCTGGACAGATCTCATTACATTGCACCAACAAACTCGCTCTAACCTTTAACACACGAATATGCAACCAGCACTATAGGGACCGGTCATTCGATTTTCCAATCAACGGGAGGATCCTCGCGAGCGTGCATGTCGAACACTCGACGTTCGTTTCCGTTTCCGCTGCGAATGGAACTCACTTCCGGTTCCGGTGATTTATTCCGCGGAATAAATGGCGAGTCGGACGTCTGGAAAAATGTTCCGCGGAGCGGCCGGGGGGAGGAGGGGTTCGAAGGGGTCGAGGGATATTTTTTTCAATCGCGGAGCGGGGCCCCGGACATGGAATTGGTGTTAAGAGTAAATCGTCGCCGGAGAAATAACATTTCTTTTCCATCGGACATGACGTTGCGTCCGTCCGGTCGTCAAGTGCAGCGTCGGCGGCGGCCCCATCAAGGTCGGCGACGTTGTTGTCGGGTGTACTGCCGTGCTAAGGAGAAGCGCCGTATGGACCTTCAGGCATTACCAAATTTCGATCGATGAAACAAGAGTTTCCTGGTAAACCAGGGTGTCTACTAAAACAAACTGCCCAAAAATCAGTACTTTTTCAGTACACACTGGAAAAAAAAAAAAACACATTGGATCTAGAGCCCAGACTCTTAAAAACATCGACAAGAATAAATACTCTTGATTCAATCAGATTTATAACCTTAAATCAAGAACCAAGCCTCTTAATTTGAGCGGATTTCCTTTTGATTTAAGCTTAAATCTGATTGAATCAAGAGTCCTTTTTCTTCTGAATGTTTTCAAGAGTCTGGACTCTAGATCCAATGTGTTTTCTTTCCCCAGTGCATTCCCGAGAAATTCAGTACCTCCTCAACGAAAAAATGCAGTACTTTTTCAGTACCTTCAATTGACGAAATTAAGAAATTTTCAAAAATTTGAATGTTTATCTCAAATTGCGACAAAAATGAAAAATTTTGGACTTTTAAGCGGAATTTCCGCACATTTTCCGTACTTTCGGACTGCGCTTTCATAATCAATACTACTTCTGAATTTTCCGAAAATTCTAAACTTGTAGACACCCTTGGTAAACTTATGCATATTTTAATTTCAATTTGTCAAATAATATTGTTCCCGATTTCACCTAAAGTTCCTAAAAATTTTGAGGAAAAATTCCCACAGCTTCCTTCAAAAATAAACATTTGATCGAGGGAAATTTGGCAACTCTTCAATGTCCATTCGGGGTTCTTCCTTAGCACGGCAGTGTAGGATAGAATCCGCCTGCTTCTCGTTGTTTTGCCGAGAAAAGTAGGCGAATTTTACGCCGGAGCGGCAGCTTCATTTGACACCGTGATTTTTTACCGCATTAGACCCTCGCGCAGGATGTGAACGAGTACTACTGTGTTATCGAAGAGAGCGAAGACGGCTAAGTTTTCAGAATTGATTTTTCTTCGGGAATAAACTAATTAAAAGTAAATTAACTGCAAGAAATAGTCTTATTTATAAATACCTGTTTCACCTTGTTTATAAGTAAGAAGATATTTATAAACAAGGTGTATAGTTTGTTTTCATTTTAGGAAATCCTGATTTTTCCTAATTTTTGGCTGCTAAATCCTGATTTCATAATTTGTCCAAATCCTGATTTTTTGCGGAGAAAAATTAAAATGTCTGCAAAAGCGTATGCGAAAGCTAAAAAAATCCGATCGGACAGCCGACTTTTCTCAAATCCTGATTTCACGACCGATTTTTACTCAAATCCTTATGAAATCGGGTTTAAATCCTGATTGACCTCAAATCCTGATGCTAGACGTCCTAATGGAAAAAAGAGGACTGTTTTCAAAAAGCATTAACTACACGAAAATTGCTGTATTGCAACCAATACAGGAAAATGTCATACTATGTTCTGCGAAAGATCAGTATTGATGACTGTCAAGTACGAATTGCAAACTCGCTCTACCGATATTTAACCTTAAAATTTGTTTGGTATTCTTCCGAAAAATGCCCTCCCAAATATACAAAAGATACAGATACCACCGATTTTCCTACGATAAAATAACGAAGCTCTAGCTGACATGCGGAATCTATGGGTTCGCCTGGAGGCTCATACGGCGCTCTTCCATGGCATGGCAGAGTAATTCAAGCTTAAAAAACAATTGGTTGATTCTTCATTAAAAATCTGCATTTATTATAAATGACAGCCTAAAAAAATGTTAACTCATATATAATTTGACATTTTCAAACGTAATGAAGAATGAAGATGCGCATTTTTTACTTCAGCCATCAACATGCCCTGGGGTTTCCGCGCAACACGAGCAGACATTTGCACAATTAGCAAGG